CTGGGCCCTAGAGCTCTGCGAGGGCCTGCCAGACCCTTAGGTGCCAACCCCTCCTCCGCTCTGCTCAGTGTGCATTCCTTCCACTTCCCACACCTGCAGGGGCGGGGTGGCATCTCCCCGGTGTTGCGCTCCTCTCTTGCTCCTCATTTTATCAGGTTCATACTTTCTCCACTTGGTTGTCACTTTACCAGACGAGACAGAGAAACCCACGTGTTCAACCTACTCCTCCTCAGAGGCAGCTCCTGTACCCAGGCAGGCGCTAGAACGAGAGAGGGGGAGGGTATGAGTGTGTGTGTGTGTGTGTGTGCATATGCGTGTAAGAGAGCGTGTGTGCATGTGAATATGCATGTGTGTGAGTGTGAGTGAATGCGCATGAGTGTGTGCAAGCGCCTGTGTCTCTGTGAGTGTGTCTGTGTGTGAGAAGCCCTGTAACAGACACTGTGGAGGCACTGCAGTCAGCGGCATCACTGGTCACACTCGAGTCATTTGGGGGACAAGGCAGGACACAGACAAGGTGACCGAGAAGATACGCGGCCTGATTGTTGGAACGTGTAAGTGCCGGAGAGTAAATCCCAGAAATTCCGCGTTTACAAACTCTTCCCTCTCTTGGGTAGCTGACACGGCCTGGGGCTTGTCACGCGTGGCTCCTGACTGAGTGGCGACCTCGTTCAGTCATTCGTTCAGCAAACTTGGATTGCACACAAACGTGTGCCAGGCTCTCGGCCCAGTGGGGAGGGTGCTTGGCGGTCAGAGCAGGCGCCGTCCTTGTGCACAGTAGGGTGGGTGAACGTTACCGCACAAGTCTGTCATGTGCAGTGGAGGACTGCTGTCCGGGGGTGGGGGGGGGGAGGGACCCCCGAGGACCGGAGGTTAGCGCTGAGCCCCAGCTGATTGTGACGGTTCCGGACTTTCCGACTCCCGCTGTAGCATGGCATCGCTTTCGCTATGCGGTTCCGTGCTTGTCCTCATTGTTAGTCCGCACGTGGCAGCACAGGCTTTGTGGGTGCTCCCGGCGAGCACGGAGGCAGGCACTCTGCACGCTCGTGGGCTCCTCCGACCCCCCTGTGCTCGGGAGGAGCCCCCATCCCCACGAACACCCGTGCAGTTCCCGTCTCAGGAGCCAGGACCAGCTGCCAAGTTCATAGGGTCAGAGTTCAGACGTGAACTTACGCAGGGACGCCCCATGCCGATGCCTGCCTTCCCCGTGATTTATCTTGTAGGTCGTTTGCTCATCTACCTGGGAGTGGGGAGAATTTAGGTTAGGGAGCACCTTACGTGACTGGATTGGAAAGAAGTTTCTCTGGTATGTTGGATCGCCGCAGGGAAGGCGAGGCTGGGAATGTCCAGCCCCCTGACACCGAGGCCTCTTTGCTGGAGCTGCTGCTGAGACAGGCCTGGGCCTTCTCACCGCGGCTCCTGCTCGTGGAGCCGTGGCCCCTGCACGGGTCCAGCTCCCATGGCCCAGGATTCCGGTGTCTCTGCATTCTGCCCAGGACCCCCCCCACCCCCTCCCCCACACATATTCTCCCTCCCTCCCTCCTCCTCTCCTCCCCCTTCCTTGCTTCCCCTTGACTGGGGGCGGAGGGCATCACGCATTTTTACCTCACTGCACACGAGTGGCGGGCTCAGGGCGAGGCTGGGCCTCGGTCCGGTTGTCCGTGTACAGTGCCCCTCAGCTCAGGCCGGAGACGGTGGCTCCCAGGAGGGAGGAGGGGGCTGCTGCCTGCACCAGGCCCTCACGCGCCTCTCTATCACGCTGAGGTGTCCTCTCACGCAGAAAAAGAACTCCAGCAGGGGTGCGCGGCGGGAATCGTCCTTTTCAAACCCCGGGAACAATCGCCTTGACACAGGGCGCACACCCCGCTCCGTGGACTCTCCACATGTGCGGGGGGCCCACGGGCCTCCCTCCCTTTCCGGTGGGAGGCTGGACACAGACTTCTTCCCCCCGAGGCCCCAGCCTGCGGTCGCACACACTTCGAGTGTTCTGCAGGCTTACTTTTAAAAATATTTTTTAAATAACGCATTTATTATAGAGAAGCCAAGTAGGTGTCCTTACTTCTTTGTTCCTGCACATTTTTTATTTTCCCATTTCTGTGGTTCTGAAATTGGGATGCCCCTTAAAAGAGATTTGTATGCTTCAATATGATACTATTTCTTTTTTTTCCTTAAAGGGGTGTTTATTAAATACAGGGGTGATTCCCAAATGACTACACCCCAGAACCTAGGAAAGACAGTGAAAGTAGAGTTTGGGAAACAAACAAAAAAAATTTTCTAATACCTGGGACCCGAGGGAGAAGACAAAACACAGGGATCCTTGGAGGTGGGGAGCTGGGCCCACCGCCTAAAATGCTGTGTTTTCCAAGGAACTGTGTGTGCAACCATCACGGGGAAAATGCTGATGCGGCCTCACCCTGTACCCCCACGTCGCTGTCTGCGGGGATGATGTACTTGGGGCGACTGGTGCCTCAGTTTATCCCCATGCCACTCCTACTGTTACAGAATGCACAGGGCCGGGGGTGGGGGGGGTACGATATACTATTACCGAAAGGACCCCCACTAGGTTTGCTTGTCTGCGGCCATAGGAAAGACGTCTCTCAATGCCAGAGATTTGTGAAAAGGAAAGGAAATGTTTATTTAAAGCTATACAGACTTAAAGTAGTGACCTAGTGTCTTCATTAAAATATCAAAGTCCTTTTGGATGCCCACAGGCGCCCACAGTGCTTCCTTCTCCCTCTGCCCTAACCCGGGGCACCGTATCTCAGGAAGAGCAGCAAACGTCCGTGATTCCGGTGCTGGCACCATCAGCTGTGTTGCCGTCCAGGCAGGAATCTCTAATTAATCCAGAGCCATGGGGCACCTTCTCATGGCCTACTGGCAAGATTCATTTTCTTCCAGGCAAAGTCTTTCCTGCTTCCTAAGCCACGTGGCCAAGGAGCGCACCCCAAAGCCATGGGGTCCTCACTCTTGCCAAAGCTTCATGGTTCTCTTTTCACCAAAGCTGCGGGGGTCTGCACTCTGGCAAAACCACGTGGTTCTTCCCTCAATGGCTGCCGTGTCCGGGTTTTTAATCCCTGAGCCAGTCTTCCTCTGTGCCCCGGTTTCCAACTCCTCCTACAGTCAGTTACACCTGCCAGCACTCCTGTATTATTCCAGGTTTCCTGGGCTGTCATCGTGAGTCTGGGCAGGCATGGCCGCATGTCGTGGAGCCAGTCTTCTCCAAGCTCTCTCACGCAGGCGCTGTAACCCGGGGGACCTGCCCCCAAGTTACAATTTGGGTGGAAGTCCCTTTCATCCCCCTGGCTCAGAGCATGGCCACAGCTATTTAACATACCTGTGCAGCCAGCTAAAGGTTGTAGGTGTGCTCAATGGCCGTGCCATGGGTTAGCTGCAAAGCTGTGGCTGCACAAAACATGTCCCTGCTCCATGTGTCCCTTCCCCCAACCCACACCTGCCGGGGGAGGGGGTGAGGACATCTCATGTGTCTTCCTAATATTTCCTGGACACTCTGAGTTCTGGACCCCTCTCCAAATCCCTGTTGGGGCCCCCCCTTGGCTGCACCCTGTTCCACTGCTGCAGGTTTTGGGTGGGACGTATTTGTACTCTTAGCAGAAGGGCCTTTCTTCTCCCTTGGTGGCATTTGCTCGTTTACAACCGCTGGGTTTGGGAAAAGAAACGCTTTTTTCTTTGGCCTCGTGGCCTGTGGGCTGTTCTGAGGCAGCCTCGGAGAACGTGGCCGTGGGGGCTCCAGGAATGTCCTCGTGGAGCCCCTCCGCCCCCGTGCGCCCCCAGCCTGAGTACGTGACAGAGCCCGCTGTTGTGCCCCGTGGGCGTGCTCACGGGATGGGGCCGACTCGGGCAGTTTTGGGGCGTGAGGAACGGAGACGCCTCAGCAGTTTGCCAGCACAGCAGGGAGCTCGTCAGGTCGAGGCCTGCATCCCAGGTCCGCACCTCGCGGGGATAGGCAGGTGGGCTCCAGGCGCATCCCCAACGGGCCGCGGCACCCTGAACCTTCCCTGAGTGTCCCTCGGGGTGCCGGCCGGCTGGCTGTGATGCTGGAGGCTGAGGGACCCTCTGGTGGGATGCTGGGGGGCTGCCATGGGGCGGGGGGCTGCCGGTGCGAGGGCAGGCCCGGCCCCGACAGTCCACCCGGACCGTACCCTGGAAGAATCGGCGGGAGCACTGCCGCGTCCGGCCTTTTCTGTCCTCCTCTCGTCTCAGCGTGAACTCTCCCCCACGACCGGGGGCCTTCACGCCCGTCCCCTACCCCGCAGTCCAGTCCACGGGCCCTGTCGGCCCAAATCCAGGCCGGCCGCTGCCTCCTTGAACCTTTCTTCGAGGAAAAAAAGTCTACATCTGCCCACGAGAAAATCCTTCCTAGTGAGACTGTACACCAGGCACTGGACCGTCCTTATTTTTCTCTGACGATACAGTTTCTGACCTTGAGTACCCCTCGCAGAGCTTGTACCAGGAAGACCCGGCGAGGAAGGAATTTTCCTGACAGCTGCCCCCTGTCGCTAGTAGGCTCCCATTGGCAGAAGCACCTTGGCTGGCCCCGGGGTCCTGGCGCAGGGGGCCAGCCAGTGTCCCCACCGGCGTGCCCCTCTCAGTTGGTATTTCACACCCCACTGAACTTTTTCCTGCCTCCCCCCCGCCCCCAGCCCACCGTCCCCCGAGTACGTGGTAATGAGCAACTTAATGTGCTGACTTCTCCGATCCCTCCTCGGTCTGTACAACAAAAGTTGCTCTTCTCTCATTAGAACCATTTTTGTCAGGGTGTCTTTAATCAAGGGCTTCCCCGGGGACCGTATTTTTAGAAGTTGTATTTTTCACACGCTCCCTCTACCCCTCTTGGAACATCTCTTCCCCGGGCCCCGGCGAAACTGACTAATGAGATGCCAGGAGGGTTCGGGCTGGTGGTAATTGGTGCGGGTACGACGCCCGCCCGCGCCTTTGGTGCCATCCCACCTTACCCGCGGTCCTCCTCTGTCTCTCCGGTGTAGGTGGCGCAGACGGCAGATGGCGTGGATGCTGACCTCTGGAAAGACGGCTTATTTAAATCCAAGGTTACCAGATACCTGTGTTTCACAAGATCGTTTTCCAAAGAAAATGTAAGTCCAGTAGCGCCGTTCCTTTTGCTGAGTGAGCGCGCAAGCCGCTCACGTTCTGCCCGTCTGAAATGTCCTCGTGTTTTCTGTTGTGGTTTGTTTTCATCGCCGTGTTAATGTATCTGTGGTTTTAGCGAGCTGGGTAGGATCGGCAGCCAGCGCTGCGCCTCGTTGATGAGCAGCATCGTCGACCCTGCGCCCAGGCGCGCCGTGGATTCCGCCCGCGTGCGTCCTCGGGAGGAAGCCAGGAAATGTCTCCCGCAGCTCTTGTCTGCCCACCTTTCTTCCCAGTAGCACATCACAGGTGGGGTGTGGACGTGAGAACCTTCCAGTGAGGCTGGATTGAAAGCCGACCCCCCAAGGGGGGCACAGCTGGGAAGGTGCTACACAGCCACCCCTCTGCACGGACACAGCCCCGTTTCCAAAGCAACTCTCCCCCCCTGCGCCTCTCTGTGACAGAAGGCGTTTCATTGTTTCTGCAGGTGGGTGTGTCCACCTAATAATGTGGGTTTCTTTTTAGTGTGCTGTTTTTCGTACGCAGGCCCATCAAGTAGGACATTTTTGAAGATATCTACTAAAGCTTTTCCAATAGGGTTTTAACGGGCAGCTTGAAAAAAGGGGGAAATAGCTTTCCTGAATCCCTGCTTTGTGTTGGGCCTGCCCGAGTCGCCCTGCGGACGTACCCCTTCCGTCCAGGGACCCTCTCCTGAGCGCCAGCTCCTTCCTCACATCAGAGGGTCTGGGGGCTTCTCCAGGTCAGCGGCCTTTCCCAGCCCCAAATGGGGAGCAGATTTTCATTTTCAGGGGTGTCATTTCATTTGGGGCCTCAATGTTACTGTCTCTAATACAAAGTTTTTTGGAGCTATTTTCATTAATTTATTTTTTATAAATTCTCTTATAACAGTGATATATGTCCATGATTTAAAATTTTTTTAAAAACCAACAACTTTGACCATCTTCATTCAGAAGCCTGACAGGGAAAAGGAATGGTCTTTCTCAGCCCCCCCAACACACCCCCCTGCGGCCCCGTGGTCCTGTCCGGGGGTTCTCGCCCGTCCCTTCTGCGTTTTCTGGGTGCAGACAGTCGCACGATCCTCCGGCTCTCACTCTCTTCCCCCTGCCACTCCTGTGTTTATTGGTAAGTCTGTGGCGGGAAAGTTATTTCTAACACATTCAGGGCTGGGGGAGAAGTCCGTGCTTTAATTTCCCCCCTAATTACGACGCATGCTCGTTGGAAAGTGCAGTTTCTCAGGGAGTGGGGGGTGTCTGGGGGCGAACACTGGGAACCTCCTCCGTCCTCCAGACAGGCCGGACGGCGGCAGCTGCGCCTCTAATGAGTCTGAGCAGGTCCCTGGGGCTCGTCCTGCAGCCTGAGCCTGAGCAGCCCCCCGGGGCAGGTCCGGAGGTCGGGCTGCCTTCGCAGACGTGGGGCTCAGGAAGTCAGGGGCAGTGCCCCGTCACCCCAGCTGCCCTCCCGCACCCACGCGGTTCCAGTGCACTCCCCGCCCCTTCGTCTCTGGAGTTCACCTGAACGCTCTTTTGAGACTATTCATGCTTTTAGCTTTTGTGCCCTCTGTTCGTCTCCTCTGTGCAGGTCAGTGCGCTCACTGCCACTCGGGGCGAGGACGAGCTCCCGGGCTTTGACACCCGAGTTTGTGTGCTCGCTCGGCTCTGCTCAGCGGCTCCGAGGCTCAGTGGTTTCACAACGTCATTACTGACCTCTGCTCAGGCCTCACCCGTCCTGACTGAAGAGGCTTCGCTTCAGTTCAGAGCCCTGGCCTCCCAGGACAGCCACGATCTCTTCTATTTTTTTTTTTTGGTTGTTGTTTTAAGATTTTATTTATTTATTTTTAGAAAGAGGGAGAGGGAGGGAGAAAGAGAGGTGAGAGAAACATCAAATGTGTGGCTGCCTCCTGTGCGCCCCCAAATGGGGACCTGGCCCACAACCCAGGCATGTGCCCTGACTGGGAATCGAACCAGTGACTGTTTGGGTCGCAGGCCAGCACTCAATCCACTGAGCCGCATCAGCCAGGGCTCTCTGATCGTTTTTGATTTCTGTTTTTGTTGCATTTCCCCTGAAGGCCGTGGGTTGTTGGTACTCTAGGCCAGAAGAGTCCTCCATCCCTTGGTGTGGGGACACTGACAAGTCTAAAAAATGACAGAGGAGTCACCAGAGCTTGGTGATTCTGAGTGTCATAGGTAAACGTACTATAGAAAATGCATTCATTCGGTCCACATTTGTTGAACTTTAGAGAGCTGTCCGTCGCGTGCCCCCTTTGCCTGTCTTCCCCCACGAGGACCGGGGTGGAGGTGGGCTGTGATGAGGGCTGTCAGCTGGGGACCCGGGCGGCGGGAGAGACCTCCGCCTGCCTTTGGAAGTGGTATAGGAAGTAGGTGCGTTTTGAGCGGGTCCTGTCGTGAGATCCAAAGGGATCCATTTCAGGGGGGCAGCCGGGCCCACTTGCCGGGCCTGGAGCAGGCAGGAGCCAGGCATATTTTAATCCGCTGCCGCCAGTCTGTGCCCGCCTGCTGTCAAGGCCCAGGCTGGGTGGAGCGTGATTTTTTACAGCCGTGAAGCAGGGGTGTGGGGCCTCCAGACTGGACAGGTTCTTAATTAGGCGACTTGAGACTCCCAGCGTAGGAGTTTTGGGAGACTCCTTCGGAACCTAAATTTCTTTCTCCAAATAATGCTGTTAACACAGAAACCTGGCTGTGGAGTGACGCTGCTTCCCGGGGAAGGATCGAGATTAATTGCACTTTTCATGCCCTGTACTTTCTGCATTACCTGTAATAATAATGTACATAGATTAGGTAGGGAGGATATTAAACAGAAGGATTTATGAACATTTGAATATTAAGTTGGTTATCTGTGGCTACCTTAAATGCAAGGTTGTCAAAAATAATTACAGTATACTAGCAAATACTGGCTACCAGAGGCAATATAAATACCCTGAGTCAGTGCATATTGGGCTTTTGGCATGAATCATTTGCTCAACAAGGATTGGGAATACGTTCTTCATATTTATGAGGAGGAAATGAAAGGGAGCGCGGGGTGGGGGAGGGGAGAGGAACACGCGAAATTAATGGTGTCGCAGACCCAGTGTATTACGCCCGGCGCGGCGCAGCCCCCCGCGCGGAGGGGCCCCGCTCAGGCTGCAGGAAGCTCTGGCAGGGCAGCCTCCCATTTCGTATGCATGGGAGGGTTTCCTGATGCTCTTTTAAAAAATGGCCACGCCGCCAGTGTTCTGGCTTTACGACCAGGGACCTTCGTAGAGTGTGGAGGGTGAGGTCGCGCTAAGTGGTTTGCAGTTGACTTCTGTAAAACCCGACTTGTCAAGCAGGAGACACTTGAGAAGGATAGTGATGAATGCCCTTCCATCCCCGGGGCAGGGAAACCTACCCCGCTGTTAATTTCTCAATGCAGAAAGCAGCGATGACATGGAGACGCAACTGCCGTGAAAAAAAGAAAAATTGTGATAGATTAGATGAGGCGACTCTGGAAGCGGCTGACGTCTGCGAGTGAGGTTCACGGTTCAAACCCCGCCCACAGGGTCCGAGCGATCCTGCGTCCCCGAGGCTCCACCTTCCGCTCGCTGCGTGGCACCGCCCCACGTTTCCCGGGGCCCAGCCCCCTGAGGTGGACCCACAGGGAGTAGATGGCAAGCAGGGAGAGAAACGGTTTCGTGACAGCAGGGCCACCAAAGCACCAGCCATAGCTTGCACTCGGCACGTCAACCTTTAGTTACATTTGGAAGAATTCATTTCATTTGTGTGCTTTTGTATTATGTGGTTATTCATTTATGATGTATTTATTAAATACACTTTTAATGTTTTTACTCACATAGTTTAGATTTGTCATTGCAGCCAATCCAATCTGATTTCCGATTGTGAGCTGTCCACCCAGTTGAAAATGTACCAGAAAACATTAATTTATGCAGCAAACAATGACCGAGCACCAGCTGTGTGCCGAGAACTGTGCTAGGCTTGGATTTACAGTCGGGACAGGTAGTTTTGGTCCCCATGGTTTTTTTTTTTTTTTAGTTTAATCTTTATTGTATTTTTTTTCCATTACCACGTAGTCCCCTAAAGTCCTCATGGTCCTTAAACTCTAGTGGGGAGACAGATGTTAAATAACCTCACAAATGTGCCATCATAAATTGGTACGCAGGAAAATGGACAGTGCCAAGAGAGAACAGAACGGAGAGTTTAGATGGTAAGAACTCCCTGGTTGGCCTTCAGAGGGAGTGTTAGTTGGCACTGGGCAGGGGCAGGGGGCTGGCCCGCTGTGTGCAGATGAGGAGACGAGAGCCCTTCTCCGAGCTGGACGGAAACAAGGCCTGAGGCGTTGCTGCAGAGGCCAGAGTGGTGGGCTGGCTGTCTGGACGCTCGTCTGGGCGCAGAACGAGGAAGCTAAGAGCGTGATCGTGCAGAGCTCCGGGGAATGCGGAGCTTCTGGGGAATGGGCGAGCAGAGGGCGTGGCTAGCATCCTAGCAGGAGAGGTTTGGGATCAGAAGCCATAAGTCTTTCCTTAACTGGATCTAACCGGAGAAGGGGGGAAGTAAGCTGCAAATTACTCCGAAGATTTTAATGAACTCTCTGGGGTGGCCCCACGTATTTAAGTTGTAGGATACAAATCTTTAGAGCTCGTTTGCAGCCTGAAATGAGGGCCGCAAGTGCCGGCGCGTTTGCAGAGAATTCTCGCTCGCCGTTACAGAAGGCGGCATGCCGTCTTCGGAAGATATTTTTGCCCTGGTTACGGAAACTGCGCGCTGTGGACCCCCTACACCACCACTAAAAAGGGACTTTAAGAGGCCCCGGTGCATGTCATTTTAGAAGATGTGCGATATGGAGGCAGCAGGGCCTTTCGCTCTGTATTTTATGATTCTTGGGATTTTATGGAATGCATCTAGCAACCAAGATGCGTGTCGATATGCAGACTGGCGATCATTCAGGAGTGTGGTTGCTTCTCTGGTTTGGATGCAGCTCTCTCCCCCTCGGCTGCCCCAGGAATTTGCTCTCTAAAACCCGCTGGGCCCGAGAACTGGGACATCGGGCTTGAGGGCGGGCCTGGTCCCGGGACATGCGCTCAGCTGCCCTTCACTGGGTCATGTCGCAAGTGTCTCCTGGCTTGCTCACCCACTGAGAGGCCATGTCTGAGTGAGTGACTTTGAAATTCTGCAGAGGAAGCCGCTGCCTGGGGGCCACCGCGTCCCTGTGTAACGGCTGGGGAGCATCAAGTGCCACCTCCTCTAATTCACCTGCTGTCATACAGCTGTACGAGTTGTTGTGTTAAGTATGCATCTTAAAGCCAAGATGGCAAACCCACCACAGGCGTGTTCAGATTAATAGTCTGTGTCTCTTTTTTTTCTCCCCAAGAGTCATTTAGGGAACGTGTTAGTGGACATGAAGCTCATTGACATCAAGGACACTCTGCCTGTGGGCTTCATCCCGATCCAGGAGACGGTGGACACACGTGAGTCACCCTTTAGTACCACTCATCTCACTGGGAGTTTCCTTCCTCCAGGTATATTTGTAGATGTTTTAAGGTGCATTTTTCTTTGGGAACATTTTAGGAGTCCTCACTGCATGCCCATGAATAAACCCCGCAGCGTTTGACACGTGTCTGACTTGGTTCTCCCAGGGGTTCGTCGTGTTCTGGTTAGCGCCAGGTCGGTGAGCAGAAGGTCCTTCTCTCCCAGGGCGGGGCTCCCTGCGGAGCCGGTCACTTGGGAGTGGACGGAGAAACTGGCGGTGGTCCGTCCTTAAGTGCATCCTGTGTGTTGCTGAAGCAAAGCTTGGCACAAGACCCAGAAGCAAAAGGGAGAAAATCGGAAGACGCCCAGGGAATACAAGGGCAATAGTGTCCCTGTTTTGGGCTCTTAGAGCTCACGAGAGAGGCCGGAACCAGAGAGACTGCAGTTAGAGTGCCAGGGTCCAACCTGGGCCCCCACCAGAGCCGGGCAGGCGAGAGGTGCTGATGGACCGGGACTTGGTCCGGGTCCTCTCGTGCATGTCGGTTACTACCTAGTGCTGGCCCGCCTCTGAGCATTTGAGCCTCCTCCTTTTGATGTAAAAGTGCGTGTTCTGTTTCTCCTTACTCTCACCAGCCAACTTTAGGACGCACACACAGGGAAGAGTAAATAAAACAAACCCAGAGTCTCCTTTCCTGGTGACACACGACTTCCTTTGAAGGTCTGTCTTATTCTGTGTCACACTTACTTGATTTTTCCACAGTTAGCCCCATTTTGGACCAACTATTTTTGCTGGTTTTCTTTTTGGGTGCTAGCATTTCATGTAGACCGCACTTTTCATCTCTGCATAGACCCCATGTAGCTCTGATTTTAGCGAAGCCAGTGGACTCCATTGCCTAGTCTATTTTCATTCTTTAAAATAATCTCCTTACTTTTGGATATTTTGCTTTTACTTGTTATTATATGTATTAGCTAATAATTGCAATAGCTCATATTTAGTATGTATTTACTGTATGCTAACCCTCATGATAAATGCTTTACATAACTGATACCATTGAATCTTCAGAAGACCCTCTACTTGGAAATGGATAGTATTAAACCCACATATGCAATATATGCAATGAATGAGGTGCAGTAACTACTTAGGGATTAAAGAATTTATCCAAGATCATGCACCTGGGGCAGGGAGTAACCAGAACACACACACACACACACACACACATGCCTGACACCAGCCCCACTTTTAACCTGTGTCACTGTGTAAAAGCATGTGTTTAAGCCCCTTTTACAGAAAGATTTTACATACTTCTGTATCAGGGGTTTTTGATAACAGCTTTATTGGATATAATTCACATACCATACAATTTACTCATTTGAAGTATGCAAATTAGAGGTTTTTAGCATATTCACAGAGTGTTGCAACCATGACCACGATCAATTTTAGAGCATTTCATCCCCCACCCACCCACAAAACCCATTCCCAGTAGCAATCACTCTTCACTTCTCTCCAGCCCCCTGCCGACCCTAGGCAGTCAGCCACCAGCCTGCTTTGTACGCGGCCTTGCCTATTCATGACATTTCACTAAGGAGCGGGATGCAATAGGCGCTCTTTCCCGCCTGGCTTCTTTTACTTGGCGTGAGTTGTCAAGGTTCATCCGTGTTACGGCGTGTGCCAGCACTCCATTCCTTTTTATTGCCGAATAACGCGCCATTTCTAGGAACGTGCTGCCCTCTGTGTATCCAGGTGGTGGACACTCGGGCTGTTTCTCCTTCCGGCTGCTCTGAACATTCGTGCACAAGGGTTTGTGAGGACCTGCGTTCGCACGGCTCCTCGGCACACACCTAGGCACGGAGCTGCTGGGTCGCCTTCTCTCTGTGTGACTTCCTGAGGGACGGCCAAGCTGTTTCTCGAAGGAGCAGCGCGGGAGGGTCCCCGTGTCGTCACGTCCCTCAGCAGCACACGTCGTCACGGTGCTTTGTGGCCCCCCTGTCCTCTCAGTGGGTGTGAGCGGCCCCTCGCTGTGGTTTTGATTTGGGTTTCTTGTTTGCTAATGACGCCGAACACCTTTTCCTGTGCTTGCTGGCCACGTGTGTGTCTTCTCTGGAGAAACGTCTCTTCTGATCCCTCGCCATTTTTAAGTGGCCGTCTTTGTGTTACTGGGTGACAAGACTGGTTTAATATACAGTGGCCCTTGAACATGGGTTTGCCCTGTGCGGGCCCAGCTATATGCAGGCTTTTTCCAATAAATGCTGAAACTGTGTTTTCTGTCCTTGATGATTTCCTTAGCATTTTCTTTTCTCTAGCTTACTTTATTGTAAGAATACACTATATAATACATGTAACAGACAGACTATGTGTTAATTGACAGTTTATGTTATTGGCACGGCTTCCATCAACAGTAGGCTAATAGTAGTTAAGTTTTGGGGGAGTCAAAAGTCTTACCTGGATTTTTGGCTGTGTGGGGGGTCAGTGCCCCTAACTTCTGCATTTTTCAGGGGTTAACTGTGTTTTAGATGTTAAGTACTTTATCAATGGTGTGATTGGAATATTTTCTCCCATTTAGGGGGTTTTCATTTCACTTTCTTGGTGTCCTTAGAAAAGTTTTTTTTTTTTTTTAATTTTGATGGAGTCCATTTATCTATTTTTCCCTTTTTTTGCTTGTGTTTTTTGGTGATACACTTACGAAACCACTACCTAATCCATGGTCACCAAGATTTATGTCTGTGCTTTCTTCTGAGAGATTGATAGCTTTAGCTCTTACATTTGCGTCTGTAATCCATTTTGACTTAATTGTTGTGAGTGGTGTGAGACAGGACCCCACCTTTATTCTTTTGCATGTGAATAGCCAGTTGAATCACCATCCCTCCCCCCACTGACTTGTCTCAGCACCCTTGTTGGACACCAGGTGACCGTAAATGTGAGCGTTTGTTTCTAGACTCTGGGTTCTCCTCCGTTGGTTGATCTGTTTGTCTGACTTATGCCGGTTGACTACTGTGGCTCTGTAGCAGGTTTTGAAACTAGTTTTCCAATTTTTCAAGATAATTTGGCCATTCTGGGTCCCTTGACTTTTCATATAAATTTTAGGACTTGTCGGTTTCTGCAAAGAGGCCGGCTGGGATTTCGATAGGAATGGTGTTGAATCAGTGAGTCAGCTCGGGGATGTGTAGGTTTTGAGTGACTTCCTTGTCGTAGGTTTCCCAGCACTTGAGGCCACTGGGCCCTGGGTCCTCCCCCGTGGTCTGCCGCCAGCCTTCCCCTGCAAATGTGGCCCTCATCTGCCAACACCTATGCTTGACCCAGATGAAGCCACCAACTTAACGCTCTCCGTGTCCTTTCTTTCCTGACTACGTATTTGCTTTGCTCTTTTCCCTGCCTGCAGTGCCCTTTCCCTCAACCCTGAATGTCCACACCCGTCTCTTTCAAGGGTGAGCCTGAGTTCTCCGACCTGCACCAGACAGTCCCTGGTGTGAAGCAGGCCAGCTAAGATTGAGGCGTGCCTGGTGGGCACTGCGGGCTTTGCAACGTGAAGATGACTAAGATACTGGCCCTTTCTCCAAGTCTAGTCTCCTTAGTCTAGTGGGTGGCCTGGACACAGGGAACAGCATTACAGCACAGTCATCGCACCTGGCATGGCACACATTTATGGCAGGGAGGGAGGGAAGGAAGCCTGTGCAGGTGACAGTGGTGGGAAGCCAAAGGGAGTGATCGATTCTGTGTCTGAAGTCCTGGCTTTACCTCCGTGAGGACAGAGTGCAGCTTGCGTTGTGGAGAACTTGGGCTCTGGAGTCAGACTCGCCTGATAGTGAGTCTGGCTCTGCACTTACAGCTGGACGGCTTCACCCTCCTGGGCCTCAGTTTCCTCATCTGTAAAGTGGGGAGAATATTGTCTACCTCATAATAATGTTTGCGGCTTGCATTTCAGCCATTTACATGTTTTCTTCATGTCTTTGCTACTTATCTCTTTCTTTGAGGGCAAGATCCGAGTTTAATTCCTCCTGGACCCACCCAAGGGGTGGGCTCCATAAAGATAAGCTTTATTATTCTGTTGCCAAATTAACTTCCAGAAATGCCAGTTCACAGTGCCACTGGTGGTGCTGGCTTGCACCTGTTTGACACAGATCTACCAGCGCAGGTTTTAAATTTTTTATTTACTTTGGCTCTCCTAATTTTATTTAATTTTCACTTCTCTATTTATTAGCAAGACTGGACGCTTCATAGCATTGGCTTGCTACTTCCAGAGGTACCACTGCTAATTCTTCAATGGCTGGTCTGCTGGAGAACTAAAATTGTAGACTTGTGTCAATTTCCCACTTCCCCCCTATGTTTTCTTTTTAGTTTTAAAATTCGCATGGGTATTCGTTTTTGACAACGAATCGACTTATAATATCTTTATATTGACACACTGTAGAGCCATAAGGGACTTCCCGTTCTGCATTTTCCTCTCGTGGAGCCGGCCAAGCAAGGGAGGCCGGAGTGGACGGCTGTCTGGGCCGTGGCCTCGCTGCTGTGGGTGCTCCTGTGCAGGGATTGGGGCGGGCAGCCTCTCCCCGTGCCCGGGGCACGTGGGCTGCCGGGCCGTGGGCTTTCAGAGGTCGTCCTGGCATCTCCAACAGGCGTCTTATGGCACGAGGAGGGCGGGTGTAGGGCAGCCTCTTCATTTCGCGTCACGCGGTCATTTCCCGGAGCCTCCACCCAGGGGACAGGTGAGCCCAAGCCGACCACAGAAACCTCTGGTCCGCTCTGTGCGGGCGGGGCGCCCGTAAGGCCCTGATTTTACAAAGTCAGCCAGAAAGATGAGGCTCCTGTAATTAATTTAAAATCCGGTTTGTCGCAATCCATGTAGCACTTAAAAACTGGAAGACTGTTTGCTTTAGGCGAGTGCCGTGTCCTCGCTCCGTGTTCACCAGCGTGACTGAGCACACTGCCGCGGACTCTGGGTAATGTGTTTACTTACCATTAGGCCTGGTTAAGCGTGTGCAATTAGCGGCTCCGTCTCTGGCCCCGAGTCTGCGGTGGAGAGAGGAGCAGAGCACAGAGCGGCCAGGCAACAGCCATTGAGAGACCTGCCTTTTTCTTGACTCCGGGGACAGGTCTGGCCTTCTCACCCCGTCAAAGGCCTGATCTTAGCAACTTAGTAACGGTTTTCCAGGGTGCAGGGCCTCGTGGAGTGGTTTCCCCCCAGGAAACTGCCCTGCCTCTTGGGGACCATGTGGGGGTCTGGATCTAGGACGTTGTCGCTCTAGCTCGTAGGTCTGATCTGGCCCTCAGTTTCGTCACCGGGGAACGGAACCCACCAAGTCTCCATGTTCCCACCTGGCTCTCGTAAAACAGCCCCCCAACAACAGGAGAGCAGCGCCACAGATTCTGGTCTCCCCTCGGGAAAGTCACGACCAGCGCGGGCCTGCCCGTTCCCCCTGAGTTCTGCCCCCTGGTTTGGGCGTGCTTATCTCCTGCCCTGGAGCTGGAAGGTCTTGGAGGTCAGCGCTAGACTCTGGTTTACGTGGCGTGCCCTTGCAACAGTGATGGCCACTCATGGCTGCCGGGCACTGGGCTAGCGATGGTGCCTGTCGCCCGCCCCCTTTCACCTGCCCTGTGTCCGTGCCTCTGTGCGGTGGGGTTCTGTTCGCTCCCTTCATGGATGACGGAACTGAGGCTCAGACGCACTAAGGCCCCAGTGCAGGGAAGTGGCCGAGCGGGGATGCCAACCTGCGCCCTCTGACTCTTACAGTGGCGGCTACAGGGGATTGGAACTCGTGTTCAGAAACCACGGAGGGGCGGACGGACCCCCAGTTGGTAGGCACTGCGGGCTGTGAGGGCGCCGACCCATCACTCTAACACTTGAGGAATAAAAGAATCACGTATTTACCTGTTTTTCCTATACAAAGCATATTTCGGGGAGACCAAGTAGTGAAGGAAAGTTGTTTGTTTAGATAGAAGAACTCCAGCTGGTAAATGCAGAGGGAAGGACGGATTTACCGAGTCACCCCTTTGACACCTGCACTGAAATGGTGGGCCTGGGCGACAGTCATCAGGGGAGGTAAACTCTGCTCGGAGATCCGTTGTGGGGACTTTAACGTGCAGGGGCAGCGGCCGACACCCCTGGAAGCCAGGGGGGCAGAGCTGGACGCCATGACTCATGATATGACGTCACAGGCCCACCCGTGAGGCGTTTTTGCCTAAAAATCCCTAACCTGAACCTCGTGGAGCCTCTGGCTGAAACCGCCCGTTTCCAGGAGGAGCAGGGAATGACGCCATTCCTCTGACTCACCAGTGCCCTGACGGCAAAGGGGGGGGCAGGGGAGAGGGTCTCACGGGGTCAAAGGGGCTTATGAGACCCAACAACCAATTCAGACGGACCGACGATGATTAAATGACATTTTTGAGATAAGGGAGGAAACTCGAATATAGACTACTTATTGGATGGTATTAAGGAAGCATTGTTGGTTTTGTTAGGAATAACGGCATGGTGGTCGCGTTAAAAAAATTGTCTGCCACGGCTGCGCACCAAGCCATCAATGGGTGACAAGACACACAGCGTTAGAGATTCCTTTTAAATTCTGCAGTTGGCCTAAAGGGGGGCGGGGCGGGGAGGGCGAAACCAGCCTGCCCGTTTCCGGCAGCGTCGAAATGACGTGATGGGAACCTGTGGATTCATGCGCTTGGGGGAGTGGTTCAGATTTTCTACAATGAAGAGTCAGAAGGAAAAGACTCCGTGTGGCAAAACGTGTTAACAATACTCAGGGCGTCCACGCGCGTGGATCTGGAGCAGGGAGCGGGTTGTGGTTGTGGCTTTTGGAAGCTGCGGACCGGTTCATTCCGGGCGGCTTCTCCTTGCAGAGGTGGGCGGCCCCTGGCAGCCCCCCGCTTCCCAGCGGCGACTGGGTGCAGCGACTGGGTGCGGCGGGCCGGCCATCGCCTGCGGAGGGCGGGAAGGGCGCACTCCGCCCCCTCTGCTGGGCACTCGCGCCGCCAGGCCTGGACGTGACGGGAGGCGCGGTGCTCCCTCCGAACAGAGACTCAATCGCTCTCCCCTCTCCTTGCCCTCTCCCTCAGAGGAAGCCGCTTTCAGAAAGAAGAGGCTGTGCATTAAGTTTATCCCGCGGGACTCCACGGAAGCCGCCGTCTGCGACATCCGGGTCACCGGCCGGGCCAAGCAGGCCCCTCCCCAGTACACGTTCATCGGGTGAGTCGCGGGGCCTCGGAGCTCATCCCCTCTCCCTGCCCAGCATGCTCGGGCCCCTCGCTGGCGCCGGCGGGGACAGGCGCTGAGGGTTCTCGGCCGCCCCTCCCGCATGTGCCGCAGCCAGTGCCAGTCGCCACACTGTCGACCCTTCCGCGTGTTTGTTCATGCCGCCTGCTGCAGCCAAGGGTCTCCCCGTCCCCTCCTCCCGTGTGTTTATCCTTGAGGCTCTGCGAGTCTTTCCAGATGCCCAGGGGCCCAGGCGTTCTCTCCTTTGCGACCGCTGGGCCTGAGCTCTCCGCACTGTTCATTCACCCCCCACGTTGGTTCCACGGGGCCAGAGACCCTGGACAGGTGGTGACTGAGGCAGACAGAGAGCCTGCTCTCACAGAGTCTGTGTTCGAACAGGAGGGAGCAGCAACAAATGGGATTAACAATCAGATCATTTTAGCGAGCGAGGAAAATGACACACAGAAACGGACAGGGGCTCCTTCCCTAGGGGTCGGGAAGGTGAGGTGTGGGCAGAGCCCTCAAGCTGGAGGAGAAACCCGCCCTGCGGAGAGTTGAGGGCAGGGCCTTGTGGGCAGAGGAGAGGGACAGGGTCCCGTGGGAATGGGTGCGGCACCTCTGGGGAGCAGCGTGGCTGGGTGGGCCAGCGGGCGGAGTCTGGGTGAGGGGAGCCGCTGGCAGAGCCCCGCAGGACGTGGGGGCGGTGTGGGTCTATTCCAGTGCAGTGGGTGCCGCTGGAGGGCTCTGAGTCGGGGAGACGGGGTGTTCGTACACGACCACGTGGTAATTCCTTCCGTGCAGAGTTTTGGTCTGATGTTCCTCCTCCCTGATGAGCAGAGGGCTGGGCCCCCCCGTGCGGTGTTCTCCCAGTAGCCTCAGCCCTGGGCACAGGCCTGACTCTGAAGCTGCATCATAGATACGCAGTGCGAGGAATCTCGGGGTTCCACTCTGGGCTCTTTTGAGTGTCAGAGACAGGAAACCCACCCGCGCTGGCTGAAGCAGAAGGAAGAATTTGTTGGCTGACGTCACAGCAGAGTCCGGGGGCAGGTTGGCTTCCTGTGGGGCTGGAAGGAAGTGCTGGGAGGATGTCACTGAGGGCTGGTTTCCCCCTCGCTCCTCCTTGCTCTGATTCTGGGGTGAGCGGACCCCATTCCTGGACACGTTCTCCCCAGTGGGGGAATGGTGGCCTGGTCCGTTTACCTACTTTTCCTCCAGGTTCAAGTCCCAAAGCAAAGAGCAAGTCTGTGTGCTCGATAATTCAAACAGGAGTTCTAGAATTCAGTCTCGTTGGTCTTGATTGACCTCACTGGGGTGCTGTGCACCCTGAACCCATCACTGCTGTCTGGAAAGTGCCCTTCTCTCTTCCAGGCCTGAGCTAATGGAACTCGGGGACCAGGAATGAGGGGACCGAGATACAGAGGGGAGGTAAAAAGTCCGAACGGGGGAGTGGATGGATGCCAGATGTCCTAAAGACAGTGTGTGTCCATCCTACTCAGTCAGCCGAAGTTCGGGTCTTCCCAGGGGATCAGTGCGGGAGGTGGCGTCCGGCCTCCCTCCCCAGCTGGTTTTGCAGGCACCTCGCTCGACCCTGTGCGTCCCACGGAGGAGTTCTCCTGCTTGGCTTTTGAGGCCAGCCCCCTCAGATCTGGTTTGAGTTCTGTCTTGCTCCGTGTTCGTGTTAGTCCAGACCCTCCTCTTCAGTCTGAAAGCCAGGGCCTGTCCCCACAGGCCTGACACGGGCTCGGCGATCGGCGCGAGCTGTGGTGTTTGCCGCAAGTGCGTGGCGAGCCGGCGTCACGGAGACTGTTTCCGTCCTGGTGTGGAGTGTGTGTGGGCGCTCAGCTCTGTCTCAGCCCGTGCGTCCTGAGGAAGGGCTCCGTGGTCACTCCCTTCCTGCGCACTCACAACCCTGTAAATGCTGTAAATTCATTGTGTAAATAGGAATAGCGAATGGTTGAGAATAACCATGTTCAGTTGCCTTAGAAGCAGCCCTTTACATAGAAATAGTAGAGGCCAACAATTTAATGATGAACTTTGAAAGTTTAATTTCGATTAACTGTGTATTTTTAATTACTACACAACTTTAAAAGATTCCATTATTAACCAATTTTAAAAATTCTAAAGAATAGACCCTTGCCAGGTATGTATGTTTTAATAATTGAAACGAGAATCTTCTGTCTTTTATATCATTTTGAAAAGATTGCTAAATAAAGTGTATTTTTGTTCCATCTTGGGGCAAAAATTCTTTTCTAGAGGCAGACAATCTCAACGTTATTTTTAAGTAAGGAAAGAGAATCCGGTTCAGAACTCGAGGTCACATTTTCTTAAAAACGTGCACACTTTCACACACTCCCCCTCGAAGGTTGGGTGGTCGGCTGGGGGAGACGGAAGCCTCAGAGCGGGAACGGCTCCGCCACGGCCTGACCCCGGAGCCCCACCGAGTGGCGGGCGAGTCGGCGCAGCCGGCAGGAGTCAGCCACCCGTCTAATGAGGTGTGATTGTGGTTTCGGGTCCTTCCTGGAGTGAACGGAGGAGCTACTAGAAGCATCCCCTGGAATGCATCTGCTCTCATTGTTTTAAGAGGTGGTATTCCCGTATATCCCGAGGAGCAGTTCTGGGGGGCCGCGAGAAGGTGTAAGTTGGATGCGGCTGAAATAATCTCGTCAACAGTTCCTCAGAACACACCCGTCTCATAGCTGCTCGTGGCTATGGTGCGCAGCCAGCCGCGCCGGGCAGGCCTGTGAAGTCCCAGGCCCCGTTGTGTCCAGGCTCAGGGGGCCCACACCTTGTGGTTGCACGGTGTCTCCCAAGCTGACCCTAAGAACAAGGCCAATGGCCAGTGACCCGCCGGCAGTAAGGAGCTCCACCCTGAAGCCAGGACCTGTCCAGGAGGCAGGGGTGCTACGTCTCCGTGTAGTTACAAATCATTGCCCTCTGTCTCACCCACACCATACAGGGAGTTGAAGTGGCTTGTCCAGTAAACACCTACAATTCAATGACAAAACAAGAAAAAGTGGTAAAGACCGAGAACCAAGGGAAATGCAGTGGTGCAGTAGGCAGGCCCACTCCGGGTGGTGAAGGAGAAGGCCATGTCATAAAGGCCTGCCTGGTGGGCACGGCTGCCCTCACATTCGGCTCTGAACCGTGCCCCCCCCAGAGCACAGAGAGAGGTGATATCACCAATCTGTGGGCAAGAACCGATATTCCCTGGTGCCTGAGGCTGTGATCCTTTCGAAGGGGCGGGCTGGCTGTGTCACTCGGGTAACGCCGTGTGCTGAACAGTGCCGTGATGCTCTCTCTCTTCTCCCCAAGGGAACTGAACAGCATGGGGATCTGGTACCGCATGGGCAGAGTGCCACGGAATCACGACTCCTCGCAACCCACGACGCCTTCCCAGTCGTCGGCTGCCTCCACCCCGGCCCCCAACCTTCCCAGGTGAGGCCTTGTCCGCGGAGCCCTGCGCTGCCGTGCGTGCCGCGAGTCACTCGGTTCGGGGTCCCGCGACAAGACATCTTAGAGCACCCCCACGTACCTTCTGCTGAAACAGTGCAGAAGTGGCGCACCTCTTGGTGGGGGCGGCTAATAATCCAATTAGAAGTCTTTGCGTTACTTGAACGTAAAGGCCATTCTGCGTTCTATTCTGCGCGCATTCGGGAGGCTCTGAAAGTGGCAGAATGTGCAGCTCTAAACGGGCTGGCCGCTCTGCGGAGCTCCTGCCGCACACGGACAGGCCCTGCAGCGGCGTGGTGGGGGCCGCTGGCCGGAAGGAGGCGGCATGCCTCCTCTTCCTTGGCCGGCGACTCACTGGAAACCCGGGAGGGTTGGTAAGTAATTACGTTCATTTGTATATTGTTTCTTTTCCCAGTGAGCTCCAACTGAGAAATGAGTAGTTTGGGTATGAGACAATAGTGAGAAAATTTTCAGGGGATGTTAGTTTTCTGTTTATTTTTTTTAAAATAAGATTTTATTTGTTTATTCTTAGAGGAGAAGGGAGGGAGGAGCTGAGGGAGAGAAACATCAATCAGTAACCTCTTGCGTGCCCCCAAACGGGGACCTGGCCTGCAACCCCGGCAGGGGCCCTGAGTGGGGATCGAATCAGCAACCTTTTGCTTTGCGTGGGACATTGCTCCAGCAGCTGAGCCACCATAGTCAGTGCTCGGGGATGTTAGTTTTAGCCATTGCTTCCACAAAGAAACTTGGGGCAGTGAACGGGCTCTGTGCAACCAAGTTCAGTCATCACAGAGGTAGGAATGGTCTCCACACTTTCTCTGCAAGAAGCAGGTGGGGAACAGAATCCCGTCGACTGGAAAAACTTCGACACCACTGGCAGTTAGTTGTCTGAGGACAAACGGCAGTGACGGGTTAAGTCTGAGAAAGGGATTGCGAAAGTAAACCGAGAAAGGATTGGTGAGGCAGCATCGTTGGGGGGTTGATGTCACATAAGTGAGAGTGCATCTAGAAGCTTCCACACGGGTGACAGGAGGTGAACAAGTTCTGTCGGGAGCAGGACAAAAGTGTCACTGGCGAGCTCGCCCTGCCGACCTCCACAGCCCCCGCCTGGCCCGCCCAGAGGTGCAGGGGTGCAGAGGTGCGTGGCCGCCGGCTCTCCTCACGCTTCTCCGAGCTTGCACCTCTCTCAGAAGAAGGCGCTGTCGGGAGCCAGCAGCTCGGAGGGCTCTCTCATCCCCCACAGAGATGATCTGGGCTTTCTGCCGACGGCCTCGCACACCGAGAGAGGGCCTTAAACCTAACTACCCCTGGAATCGCCCGAGACCTCGGAAGCAGTTTCGTGGTTCCCTGTGGTAGGGAAAGATACGAAAAGCTAATGAGCTACCCAGAGTTGCAGGTGGAGCAGCCGAGCGTCTGCTTGGTTTAGGCTCGTTTGGTTCTTTGTCACTACCCAGAGCCCTGTCACGGCTGTGATCACTGTCAGCTGTGCCCGGGGTCAGCTCAGGCCCATCGCCTGTGGTCAGGGTCAGCTCAGACTCATCCCTGGAGTAGCTAACAGCTGCTCCCTGTTGACATGATATGGCTTGGAAGGGCCTAGAAAGGATGAAGAAAGAGCACCGATTCCCCCCGTTGAAGCAGGAGGCCTGGTCCCCCCAGAAGCGGGCGGGCCGGTGGTGCAGCACAGTCACGAGCCACCAGAGTGAAAGGCCCAAGAACCCAGGCCGTGGGGCTCCGGGCGGAACTGGAGGTGGTGTTTATAAGGCTTGTATATTTTATAACCTCTTGTTGTACAGTTTATGGTTTACAATGGTTGCAAGGAAATTGGATCAGTTTTGTTTTACTTGCCAAATAAAACAAATGTCAAAATAGTCAATATAAAATGTATTCTAATTTGGTTGAGTTAAGTCAGCCAGTATGCAGTGGGATAATTGAATGTTACATTAATGCTTCCCAGTAAAAACCACTTGTCTGCCCCAAGCTCTGCTCTCGCCGTGCCGTGATTTGCAGGGGCATGCGCACCTGCGGGAGCCTCCTAATTCATGGGGGGGGGGGTGTGCCTTTGGTTTTTATGTTGTTTTCTTATCTTTGATTAAAAAAAAATGAAATGCTGACTATTCAAATTTTCCATGGAAGACTTATGAAACGATGAGTATGTTACTTTATTCCTTGAGGCTTCAGGCCTCGCGAGTCTCGCCAGCCAAGGACCCTGACGGCTTTCTCCCCGGCAGTGGGCCGGGCGGTCCTCGCATTTCCGGTGTGAAGGCTCCCATGACATCTGCTCTTCTCTCCCGTCCCCGAGCCTCATACTTCAAGCTGAACTGGTAGCCTCTCCCTCCCTTCCTGTTTCGTGCGTCTGTGTCTTTGCTCGGGCGGACACCTGTGCGTCAGCTGTCTCACCTCCCTGCCTTAGATAGCAGCTCAAATGCCTCCTCTTGCGGGAAGCCTTCCCTGAACACGACAGTGCTGAGCCTGTGCCTGGACTCTCTTCTGAGCGCCTCTCCACCGCTATGCCTTCCCTCTGTGTTGTGGCCATGATGTTGTGACCTTCCTGAGGAGGGGGGGCACCGTGTCCTGTAATTTCCCAGCACTCGGCTCAGGCCCGGGCATGTATTCAGTTTTGCAAAAATGCTTCTCCAACAGCCTAAGACCTCGCGTTGCCCACCCCCCATGACGCCCAAGCCCCTGAGCCATCCTGGGGATTTTTCTGGTTATGAGTGTAATACAAACTTGTAGAAAACTGACAGGGAATAGAAAACAATGGACCCACAGAAATCCCATTTCCAGTGACCTAAGGTGCATGACTTTAGATGTTATTTCCTTCAAGTCATTTTTCTGTGTACTTTTTACATAGGTGGTATCACATAAGAGCAAGTTTGTGTTTTGCTGCTTCTTTCTCGTGTAGTATTGAACCACAAGAGTAGGAAATACGTCTTCAAGCATGGTCTTTGTGTGGACGCAGGGATCAGGCTGCAGGGCGAGGGCTAGAGTAAGAGTGTGGTGATGCAGCGCCCTCTACTGACCAAACTGGGGGCGGCAGTGGGGACAGGCAGGCTGGTTCCTGAGCAGGGGGCGGCAGGCCCTTTTCCCAGCAAACCCCTTGTGGGCACTGCAAGGGGACAAGGGGGCAGGGCCAGGAGCAGACCTGATTGCTTTCTTGGGGTCGAGCCTTCGTCTCAAAAGCTAAAGTTGTGCTCTCTGCCTCCATTTCCTGTGTTGTCACTCATGGCAAAAAATTCCCTGCCAGTTTGAGGGGGAGCTCTGATCCCCAGCTCCACTCAGACAAAAGGGACAGTTGGCAGCCTTTTCAGAGATCATGGGTCGTCGCCTGAGGACCTCCTGGTCTCAGCAGAACTGCCTTCTCTTTCCGGACAAGCACTTCCTGCCCGTGTCCCTCCTGTCGCTGCAGAGAGTGCTAGCTGGGGGCTGGAGACCATGGTGTCCCTTCCCGGTGGGCAGGGCCCCGGAGGCCGAGGCTGCCCCCTGGCTGCATCTGGTGAACCGGATGCAGTGTTTGGTGGCGTTTGTGGCAAAAGACAGGATTAGATGTCCCTTTAGACATCGAACTAGATTTAGCTTAGAGCTCCTCTTCCTCACTCAGCGAATCTTTATCTCACACACCGACATCCCCGCACACTTATCTGAGTTTCCGAGTGGAGAAGGTTCTGCTGCTTCTTCCAGGAGCTCGGAGCCTCCGTCTTCTCTCTGGGCCTCAGTGCTGCTCTGCCCTCTGCCCCTCCGCCGCCTGCAGCTCGGTCAGCAGGATGGCGCTGGCCTCGGGGCTGGGGCACGACCCCCTCCCCGTGGTCACCTCACCTTCTCTCTTCTGGGCTGGTCTCAGCTTTCCTTTCTTTTAAAGAAACGATTTTTCAAAATTCTTACCTGAGGACATTGTCTTCATTGCTTTTAAAGAGGGAGGAAGGGAGAGAGAGGAACATCGATGCAAGGGAGAAGCACCGATTGGTTGCCTCCCATATCAGGGATCGAACCCACAGCCTTTTGGTTACGGGACGACTGAGCCCCACCGGCCAGGGCTGGCGCAGCCTTTTCTGATTCTCCTCCGTGCCTCTGCCTTGGGTCAGGGTGCAGGTACGGAAAGCACCTTGCAGCTTCAACCAGATCAGCCCTCCACTCCTCTCCCACGCACGGGATCGCGCAGATGATTCTGCTGGGAAGCAAAGGTTCCGCTGCTGCCAGGAGCAAGGTTTGGACAAGTCCCGGGAGGCAGGTGGAGTCACAGGTGACGATGCGCCGGTAGCCCTGTGGACGGACGGACGGGAGGCCCGTGCCGTCCCGGCGGGGGCCCCTGGTGGGACGTGTGTGAAGGAGACGCTCCCCTGGCCTGCTCCACTGTAGAACCAGTGGCCTGATAAAGACATCAGAAGCGTGCTTATCGAATTTGCAGATGACACGCAGTCATTAGGGAGAGCGGGAGTTCTGAGCGGCAGAGTCGATCCTCCCCGGCTCCTCCACAGCTAGGGTGCCCTGCGGGAGCCAGGAGATGGGAGGTGCTGGGCTGGCAAGGGGTGGGGCCTCCTGAGGCTCAGACCCCCGGCTGCACAAAAACCAGAGTGAGGAGACTTGACTGAGCGCTGGTTCATGCGAAACGACGGGGCGTGAGCGTGGGCTGTGTGGGATGCAGCCTGGTGTGCGCGGCGGGACGCGTCCCCTCGGGCGGCATCCCACGCCCGTGAGCCCGTTCGAAGGGGTCACGTCCATTACCATGTACCACCTGGTAAAAGTTGCCTGACTCCAGCATTGCAGGTGAGCAGGAGACTTAAATAGTGTTTCCGGGTGGGGACGGGTCATTGGAAGCCCCAGAGACAAAATTAGATCAGCTGGACTGAAGTTATTAGGAGGCAGATGTGGGTTTAACCTTTTAAAAAACGAGCAAGAAAATTTCCTGAAAGTAGAAGGTCGGGGCCTTGAAGAGGCCGACTTGAGAGGTCACGCATCCCCAGCTGCCGACAAGCCGCGCTGCGTTTGGA